TAATCTTGCCTAAGATGAATTTCGATATGAACAACGAATGTACTTATGCTGCATATATTTATAATTTGATAACTGTAAAGTGTCGAGATATTTGAATGCAAAATCTCAATCTTCTCCGTCGCACCATCTTTCGATCGAAAACATGCAAACAAACGTCTCTGAAATTAAAATTAAGATTAAAATCAGACCGGGTTGCATGAACAATCCCACCTACGCGACAAAAGAAACTAAAATAGTATGGCAAGGTTCGAGCAGCCTTTGAATCATGGCGCCCCCGTCAACGGGCGAACACGTACGCCCCCTATCGGATCGGTAATACGCTTCGAACCTCCCTTTTTCTCCGTCTGTTGCGGTTTCGTTCTTTCTTACGGGGGATCGGTTGCGGCGGGGGTTCCGTGCCATGATTTACGATCTAACGACTTAACGATTATGATGCATTTCACCGAGGAGGCACCCTGGTGGATCGCGGACGAGGAAACGACGAGGACAACGGTAGCGAGATGCCTGACGGCGCGATAGAGAGAACGCCAGCGGCTGTTGAGGTTAGGAGGGAGGTAGGGGACTGTAAGGGAAGGGAAAGAGAAAGAAGGCGGGGAGAGAGCTAGAGAGAGAGAAGGTATGGAAGGTGGAAGCAGAATACCATATACGGTCACCTTTGTCAAAGCCTGGTTGTCGCCATATACAGGCAATGTTCGCGATGGCAGATACTTATATAGAGTCCAACTTAAGAATCAGGAATGCCGGTTTTTGTCGCGCCTTCTATACACACCCGTGGTAATGGGGGGTACAAATGCGACTCGGAAGTGATTGTCGACAACGCCTGCCGTTGGCGGACAAGGGCCGCTTTCGCAGCCCTCCGTGCTTTCGGAAATCCTTTACGAACCGCGGCGAGCACCGGCGATCGTGTACGCAGTCGCGAGCTTGCGACGTGGAAACGATCCGAGCTTCGCGGAAGCACCGGTTTCCTTTTTGCTTTTCTCTCGCTCCCCGACCCGCCGAGTCCAACGACACTTCGTCTTCTTTTCCCCTCGATGGACGCGCGTCGAAGTATCGGTTTTGGATACCCGTGTGGCCGGTGTACTGTAAATTCGTAAGTGCCATTGAACTCGCATAGTCTTAACGGTCGACTCGGTTTCGACTGTCCGAGTGGCGAAACCGTTTCGCGATTACAACGCGCTCGGAACGTTCGGAAGCTCCGTTCACGGTGCCGCGAATAATTATAAACCCCATATCAAATTTAATTACTTATCATTTAACGATACATTTTACTTTGTATTTTGTAACTTATTTAGAGATTTATTTGAGGTATCTCCTGAGTTAGGTTAGGTTTTTAAATTTCGCGATATCGTTAGTTTCCCCTCGAGATAACTCTACTCTGAACTCTTGAAACCGCTTCTTTGTTGAGGAAAATGGCGGCTTCTATGTCATCCTCTATCAACGTTGTAGAAGGCTACAAATTGTTAACCAGAAGCAATCGAGACAATTTTATTTTAAAAATTCTTTCTGAAGAAAGTCTAAATCATGATTAACACACCACCCTCGAAACATTACATAAGGATAGTTATTTAGTTTGTATATTTTGAGTTAGTCTATCTAACTGGCCAGACTTAAATTGTCCAATATTGTGGTCAAATTAATTTTAGATTTTGAAATTCTAGCTCTCCGTATTAAAGGGCACTTCGTTTTGCTTTTCTTTCGCCGTGATTAACGATGCGCGAAGGTATTGGTTTTGAGTTCACTGTTAGCGACCGTCGTAAAAGAATAAGTTGAAGATAGGAATTGAACTTGTAACTGGATACTCTTACTCGCAGACTCGGTTTGGACTGTCTAATTCTGCGATGAAACTATTTTTGGACTTATAAAACTGTCCGGTAGCTTCGTGTTCTTGGACTCCAGTTTTTGGTACCGAAGGATGTTACATTTCCCCTTTCTTTCGCCTAGTTAATGGACGTGCAATATTAATTTTACGGTCACTGGTAGCAAATAGTTACAAAAGCATTCGTTGCTGATATTCTGAAATATTGCAAACGCGATCGAACTTGGAATACGATCTATCAAAATATTCGAAAAACTCTTTGGAATTGGACTAGCTTAACGTTATGAATATTCTTTTGAGGGAAAGTTTTTCTCCTTCTTTGTTGATATTTATGTATAAGGTAAAGAACAACTCGACAACATCGAAACCAAAGACACATATATTAATGATATAACGGTCAACGTGTGCACATACTGATTGTGACTGATAACATTACTCCATCCGGAAACATTTAACGTTTCATCAAATTATTTATATTTCTGCAGCTTGGAAGAACCTCCGGAATCCTTGAACCTCGTGAATAGATATTCGTTGGACGATGATATAAAATCTACGATACAAGATCATGGTGGCGATATTTCAGCGAAAACTTGTTCGAATTGACCTTTTAATAATTATATCAATAGCTCAGATAAGAAAGCTTGCAATTTCTCTGTACGAGATACAGTGGTAAGTTGAAGACGTTGAGTCGAATAATTTATTTTAATCCAACAACTGCCAAAGCACTAAAAAAATAAAGGTGATATTTTCAGGCATAATAATAATATTTATATTATCCATCTACGACCCCCTTGGATCACGGCTTAAGAATCATTACTGGTAACACATAAATACAAGGTACCAAACAAATATTTTAAATCAACATAACGATATATAAAAAAGAAAGATGAAATCTGATGAAAAATTAACGACAAAATGTTCTATTTTACAAGCAAAAATTGATGGTCGCAACTTTCGTAAGGAAAAAAAATGGAAGTCGATGCCCGGCTATGGTTTCGTAGAAAACAGCTTGTAACGCTTTATATGGCCCAGCCTGTATATCGCCATCGTGGTTTCGCGTTACAGACTGTACCTCTGGCATGAAATTGATCTTTGGTAACGAGGATCGGTCGGATCGTCGTCCCGCGTCTGGAGTAGCCGCACGATCCATCGAAAGACGAGCGGCTTCCTAATCTTCGGTAGCGGTCTCTCGCGACGCGATTTGCTTTCTCTCGATGCAAACGCGATCCGGGCGCTCGACGACATATGTACGCGTCCTAACGAGGGAGTCGAAATGCATGTATAACGCATAGGTTTCCGCGACGGTTCACCGTTGATATAAAAAAACAAAAAAAAAAAGTATCCGGTGGTGGCGGTAGTACCGGGGGAGAGAAAGTCACCCGGGGAAACATAGTCCTGCGTAAATTTGTGTGAATCTCCCGTGGAAGCGCGGTGTACGAGTTCAGGCCGCGCGGATGGCCATATATGGTGCGCGAACAAGCTTCGCGCATCTCTCCCTCCTAGGTAGGTTAGGTAGGTAAGTTCGTTGGTTGGTTGTTTCGTTGCTTGGTTAGTTGGTTGCTAGACTCGTTGATTGATTGGTTAGTTGGCTGTTTGATTGGCTCGCCGATATTATTACCGAGGCGTTATCTGCGATTTACCAGCCGCGCCACGTAATGTGCTACTCTCCTCTACCTTGTTTTCTGTTTGCGACTCGTTAAGGGTCTGGAATTTATGATCCGATACAGGTGTACTACATCATTGTATATCACTTATGACGTTACGCTTTGCTCCGTGCCTGCCGTGACTCGGTTACCTCTTCTTGCGGATCACAACTTTTAGCCAACGAGATGCGCGTTGCTTAGCATTTAATGAACGTCCATTGTTTAACAAGGCTAACGTAGGTGCTCTCGGAAGTTAGTTAGGAACTTTTACTAGTCGCTTTTTACTATAAAATGATACAGTGGCTCGGGTATATACTTACCAACACCTTTTCGCATTCAATTTTCTCAATCATCCCCTATGGGAAGAGTATAAATAAATTTATATTGCGAGTTGTTTTAATGTAACTTTTGATAGTCAACCGTAAACATCACAATTGATATGGTCTTTCGCAAAGTGCAAGTACTCCCTATCCATCAGATTACACTCGCATAAACGACATTATACAATTCATGCGCTGATTTCATTACCCAGGGGTGACTATATTTTATTATAAATATCAACAGTGGTCTTAAAATTCTACAGTTTTTCGAACGCTAATCTGAATCTGAAGCAACAATATCAAAAATGGGGAAGAAATTCAACAGTACTCGCTTTTACAATTTCTTATGTCCAAGAGATATAAAGATTACCACGCCATACAAACATAACTTACAAATAATCTGTTTGCAGCAATTATAGTTTTTCACACCAGAATGGGTATACCATTCAATTTCTATTTCATTATTAGTTATTGTATCGTATAATTTTTTGCAGAAACCAAGCATAGTTTGTATTTTAGAGGGTTAATAATGACGGCTGATGGCCGAAGATCGTAGATTCGACACGGTGTTAGGAATAGTAATTTGCTGAGACGATAGCGAAGCAGAAACCTTGCAGAGATGATTCATAAATTTTGTACCGACGCGACACGTTCTCGGGATACATAATATATGCGGATGCAATTAAAATCTGATTCGTACAGTGGTTTATAAATTTGATCGAGCTGTACGGTCTCGTATTGGAACACGCCACGAATGCCTATATCGTTAACGACCGAGGGAATTAGCAAACAAACGAACATATGGAAACGTAAATAGTTATCACGTTTTTCGTACGACGATCTTTCGTCCACGAAGACACTTAGGCACGTGATTATTACGTAGTTCTTGGAACTAGCGCGTAAATGGAAGATACTTTCAAATTACAAATATGGAAATCTTCTTGTACTTTGTGCGTCGATTGCGTAACATATAAATATAAAATGAACATAGTTTTATAAACGCAGGATGTTTCTAAATTCGCGATAAAAAGCCAGACGATTCTTCCTCGACGAATAAATGGAAAATAAAATCCCATAAAATTTGGCCATTGGAATATTCCGGATAATATAATAACATAAGCTATTTTCAACGAACGTTGCAAGAAACGGCGTAGAAAGTTTTTCTTCTTATTTGGGTTTTCGCTCCCTCTACTGACGAACAGTATTTCTACACTGTTTCAGGAAGACGGCACTTCACCCAGATCGGACGTATGTGCCAATGAAAGCGACGGAGACTCCAGCGATGGCGATTCTCCCGTTTCGAAAGATCTCCCAAAGAACCACTCGGGTAAGTGTGTCGGAAGAAACAATGGAAATTCTCGTTACTTTCGCGTTGGCCAAATAAAACGAGGAAGGCAATGAAGGAGACCAATTTTTTCGGTTACGCGAGCAAACTTTACCGAGAAAAATGAATGAATTGTGACTCTTCGATGGCGAGAGCATCCAAACGACTGAAAACCAAATTTTTTTACAAACGTCTACTTAAAAATTCCCGAAAAATGAGCGGCCATTAACGTGTCGCTTTCATCTTTTGATCGGTTTAACGCGAGCGTATTCGAGAATAGTGATATTTGCTAAGAAGATGGCGTTTTCAGAAAATTGTCCTAAGCAGCGAAGAAAATGGTGAATCATGCAGAAATCTGAGAACGAATAAATTTTCGTGCGCGAGCTCGTTTAATTTTTCTAGCGTTAAACGCGTTCGAAGAAGGATAGAACCTTTTCTGTGAAACAATGCTGGTCGGTTCTGTCTCAATTTTTCGACGGTAAGATTCCCTGGCGATGGTTTCACCCCGTTTCAGGAAGATATAACGAATACCACCAGCAATGGCACATCAAAGCATCGCCTTTTCAGGATGTAAATTTCGTTTTACCGTGGACTTCGGTGTTTCATGAATATATCGCCGGGCCAACTAACGACGATTAACGTACATTATACATTTCTCGTGACAAATCGTTCCCCGATCCTAGAATGGCTGGATAAGACGACAATGAAGCAGTCAGTTGCAAGCTTCTGATTCCCATTGAGTTCGCGTTGAACCCACTTTTCGACCACTTTGACTTCATCAATTTTCCCTAAGTGTTCGAGGAAAACTGTCGTGTGGCACTTGTGCCAAATTGCCCTGCAAGGTTTCTGACAGTTTGACGCGTATCTGTCGCGGCTGAAGTTTCTCCTTTAAAGAATCAGAGGGACTGTCTTCGAACACCTAATTCGTATATTACGATATCGAACGGATTTTGATCAAAACAACAATTTTTATTTAAGTACAGATTTATTCTGTAATATCGTAACAATAGTTTACAGCGAGCTACGCAAACGAAAGAATAAATATTTCTTGCTTATTACGCGCATGTGTGTTTGTTATGCATTATACGTGGTATTTGTGCGACGCGTGTGGCACATGTCAGTTATGTGTGGTATTTTTACGTGCGTGACGCGTGTGTTCTTTGTGTGATACCTTTATGGTGTTCTAATATTCGTTCACACGCTATTTAGAACCCACCGTTTTTTCACCATCGTGTTCTCCAACGACGAACCCCGTCGAAGAAATTTACTCAAAAATCAATTTTACTATGCTAGCTAATCTTTCGAGTCGTACATTTTGAAAAAATTATTTTCGGTTGCGGGGGTCAATTACAATCATTTTTGGTGAATAGACACACCCCCGAAATCCTGCGCACTCTCGAGAAAAAAATTCTTTACTGAAAATATACTGTGTAGCCAGAAATTTAATGTCTCTGGTACAAATAGATACACAATAATTGTCAGTAATTCTAGTGTTGAACAATTTTTAGAGATAAATAATGTTTCAAACGAAGATCCTCAATGATTTGCAAACTTAACCACTTATTTTTACGTGTGTCTATCGTTTTAATTTCTCTGGTTAAACAATTCTTAGGGTAGTATCTAAAGTAAAGTGATCGAAGACGGTAAATTATTGGTAAAGAATTGGACTTTTTCCGCAACACTGTGGCGTCGTTAGGAATCGCGAAACGTTTCCCAAGCCATCGATGCTGCGTCTTCGACGAAAAAGCACAGAAACACGCAAACGACCGTTTCGTTTGCGAACTTTCGTCTGTAAGACGCGTGTCGGGAACGAAAAGAAAAATGTTGCTATCGTTTCGTACCGTCTCGTAATTAGCGAATTTCCTCGTGGGCGTGCCAGGAGCCGCGATACCGAGTCAGCGAGCGGTAAAAGCCGGCGTGGAAAATCGTTAGAGCCGTAGGTAGCCCAAGCGGGCAAACGTGTGCAATCCAATCAGTCAGGTAGGTCGGTAGACAGAGAGAAGCGTAGAAAACGAGAGAATGGTATCAGAGTGGCGAAGCGTACTGGCGCGTAAGAGCGAGCGAGAACCAACCGCGCAAGGGAGGGAGAAGATAAAGGAAAGAGGACACTTAAAATGCGAAAAGTGTGCGAGCGATGACGAGGTTATCCGTGTAGGGGAGTACATAAGGAGTCGTACGGGCCGCGATGACCAAACTAAGACAACGACGCGATGCCTAACTGGGAAGTAAGATCCGGTCGAAAGCCGCGCTCCGATGCAGGTGTACACATAAATATCGATGCTAATATATGGAGTGGATGCCATCCGACTTACCGATCGCCGGCATGACGTACGTTTTTTATCTTTCTTTTTTCGCCTTTCCATTGTTCCACGCGGCGAACTGTCTCTGTCGGAATTTTGATAACTCGACGCGTTGATATCGATACGACGATCTACTGCCCCGTCGAGCGCGTTTCGATCGCCCAAAGTGTGTTTTTCTTTTCCTTAGCTCTCGTTTGTTTTTTTTTTTTTTTTTTGTTGACGATCGAGACGATAACGCTTTCTCGATGCCCGCGCACAATGGAACCGTCGATCGTTAATACGCCGCGGGATAATTGCCCAAACGAAACCGATGATGTTTTTCGAACAATTGCTACAAAGCAAGAGAAGCAATCGAGTTTGCCAGTCATATTGCAACCGTGGCGCGGGATCGTGTGCTTTCGCGCGTTCGAGTATACTCGAATGTTTGCGGACCTTGTCACGGTTCACGAGATTCCGTCTCCAAGTTTGCCCCATTTTGCCGACCACCCACAAGTAGCGACGGCTTGAAAATAAAAAGTAGAGAATTTTTGTACAGTTGCTCACGAAATCGAACGTACGCTGGTTGGTAGCGAACATTGGCGAGAAATTGAATTTAAACACGTTAATTTATATTCTCGTCAATTTTCACTACCAACGTAAGGTGTATGCTCAATATTGTAACTGTACATCGAAACAATCGAGTAAACCTTGATCTGTTACGACTCTCGAACTATCGGCCTTTATTTCGATTGGTCTTGCATTTTCGTTGCACTTCTAACCACTTTGCCGACGTGTAATTTTTTCCACCGACGCGCTTGTTCCGCAGCACTCGTGGTCCATTGTTTCTGAAATCATTGCGCGTGACTGTTCGCAGGTATAATGTACCAGATGCCGCAGACAGTCATTTATTCGCCGAGTCCAGGAGTTCTACTCGGTATCGGGCAAAACGGTCAGCCGGTGCAAATCTCTCAAGAAGGAGGTGAGAAACCGCGATCCCTGGAATCCCATGCGCTTCGGTCTTTCCGATACTGAGCGGTCCGCGGAGGAAACTTTCGTTGCCTCGCGCAAAGGGTGTTCGCCGGGTTTAGAAAGATCGAAACCGTTTCCCGTTGCAAACGTCCCGTCCCTCCTGTTCCCCAAGTAGAGGTTTTCGCATTGTTTCGCAGGCACGGTAACCCCGGTAAACTCCACGCAGAATAACCAACCGTTCATCACGATACCGCTGAACGTAGCGATGAGCGCCGCGGGTTTGTCGCTTCCCGTAACCTCCAGGATGAATATGTCGCCGTCGCCTAGATCACCGACCACGACGACGACGACAACGACGACCACGTCCGCCTCTGACCTACCATCGGACCTGACCAAGGATCGTGAGTGACCACGCGACTCGATCAACGTTCGCGACTAAGAAAATCTCCACGGTACCGTCGCTCGTCGATGCAACAAAGGGTAAACGGACGATTGGACGATTTCTTTTCCCCGAAAACTTCGTCGAGAGATACGTATATCGCGATGGGGGCTGATACGATGCTTAACGATTACATTTCGCCAAAGTACTACCTCTATTTTTCCAACGCAATCGGGACCGTTAGAGTTGAAATGGAAATTTTAAGTTGTTACTGGTATGTTGACATTCGAGACGACATAGGAACGAGAGGAATACAGTGGTCAATGAAAGCAAAATTCGTTGAATTTGATAAAGTTTTTTAAAAATGTAGTTATTAGGGGTGTTCGAGAACCTCGAAAGTCTCGAGAATATGACATCATGGAATATGACATCATTTAAAATTTATCGCTGATAGCTGGTCTTCTCCTTATCTCTGACAGTCCATTATGTGACTGATATCTTTGAGATGAATCATTATAAAAATTATTTAATTCGTTTCGTACCTGTTCTATCTTGAAGAATAAGAACTCCACTTTGATTATGTACAATCACATTTCAAAAAATCGCTATCAAAGTACCAAAAAAGTTAAGTTGAACGAATTTCGCTTTCCTGTACGAAGACTTTTGAGGACTTTAGATCGTCCAACGAGTGTTAACTTACCAGCAACACGCAATACATTCGACGTAAAACGAGTATTCCGTTAGTTGGTACCGGTAGCATCGATTCGAATATTGGTCCCATCGTCGAGACGATCGCGTCGATCCGCGGATGGCTGATGATCGTTGTTGAAACTCGTTGGTACTCGTTGTTAGAATTCGCGTAACGTTCAACTTCGCTGCAACGCGATGTCACGAATTTTGTTCGTCCTTCGCTTCGAGGACGCCATCGCCTATCCTGCCGATAGATTCAACGACGGATTAACACTTTGACTGCCGGATCAAACCCCTGAAATTGTCCACGAAATCGAAACTTTGTTCTCAGACAATTTGAAACTAGCATACACACAATTTCTCAACTGATTTTTACAGCCTTGTTAAAATTCAAGGGTCCTATCTAGATTTATTTTCTTTAACGTTCAATCTGTAGGATTAATTTCTTTATTTCCTTAGTAAAAAGTCAATGTGTTAAACGTAATTGCAGGGCGACCCGCGGAGTGCAAAGGCGTGAAATTTTCCGCGATGTTTCGATATTTGTAACGCAAAGAATTTGGCGAATTTTATTTCCGAACGCAAAAGTTTTAGTCTCGTTCGTAAACTAATGTTTCCCAGCGGCTTAACAACTAGGAGTACCGAAACAGTCAAAACGACCCATTCGTAATTTCTAATAAAACTTATGAAAAATTTAATCGATTTGAGAATTTACTGTAGTTTTCTATAAGAGAATGAATAAACACTTATTTCCTATCGTTTTAATTTCTTTGGTACAAATAAATACACTATAATTGTCGGTAGTTATAGTGTTAATAGATAAATATCTTAACAAAAAAGAAACGTTCGTTTTGTCTCGACAATGCAAAGAATTCTTTGTTTTAGTCTTCATAGACGCCATGTTTAGCGATAAAAAGATCAAGGAGAGAACTAATGGAAGAAGACTAATAATAGAAATGGGTCCTTCTTATAGTATTTCAAGAAAAAAAAAAGAACCTAGAAAGTAATTAGCTTCAGGCTCCGATAAGTCCAATTACAAATTAATTTACGGAACGTAAATGTAAACGGAAGCTGGTTCGCGAACGAATCTAAAATTTATATTCGTTGTTCGAGAAGAAAATTCGCCAAACTCTAATATCGATACGATACGTTGATAAGTAAAATTAGCAACGTGTATCGGAGTACATGTTTTCGTTGAAGCTGGGTTTCGTTACCGGCGTTTAATCGATATTTGTGCAATACTAGTCGAACGTTTGTTCAGCAAACGTTCCGTATAGCAACTTTTTACATTGTCCTCGTAATGGTTCATCTTTCGAGATATTCGTCAATTTTTAATAGAATCATCCGTGAATGGAATCGGTATTTTAAAGCTGCTCACAGCCTACTGAGGTTCAAGCCAGATATTTTGTTCTTTTGCGAGTTTGGACGTACAATGATTACGAATTCAACGATCAAATTTGCGTTATTTGAGCATTTCTTTTTTTTTTTTTTGTTTAATGTATTCCAGATCAGTGATTCTATGAACAACGACGACTTCTTAATCGTACAGGGTGCTTTTAAAATGAACTGTAACCGGCGTCATTCTTCGTTTAAACTATAGAGGAAATATTCGTTACTCGTTTATGTTGTACATTGAATTTCTTTTTATTTATCGGTTTGCCTGGAAAGAAAAATATAAATGATTCTTCTCGAAGCAACGATTTCCTCGCATGGATGCTTGCATTTAAAAGTACGAAACGCTTGAATTCTACGCGATTCGGTCTGCGTGCGCGATAAAAGTGTTTCGAGATCAATGATCGGCTAATTAACGGAAACGTTTAATTGGCCAGTGATAATGTTGCCAATTTTTATCGATCGTTTAAACGGATAATGTTAAACATTAACCGTAATTAGTGATAAGCACGCATTATTGTCAGCCACGTTGATTTAACAGTATTCTTCAACAACGCAATCTCTATTTTACACGATATGGAAATAAATTATCGGCTTGTAATAGATAACACCCGCGAGTAACTTGTATTTTTTTTTTACAATATACCTGCGAATATTATTTCACACACGGATAGTACTATCGATATGCACGAACCGTCGATCGGGGCTTGCCAGAGAGCAGAGTTGTTCGTAAACATATCAAGGGATTCGTAAAAAATATTCTCGCAATTCAAGAATTCTTTCTTTCCATATTGTGCTTCGAATATGTATACTTGTTTCGATCCAGCGGAAACCAGAACCTCGATGCGCCGCGATTTAAAACAAACAATTGACTTTCTTGAATCGTGAAAGTATTATTGCGCGATACGTTCCGAAAGGTACCCATCTAACAACGAACGCGAACAAGTTGTTTATATATATATATAAAAAAAAATATTGTTTAACAGTGCCTTCGTAGAGGGTTAAGAAACGCGGAGGGAGAAATTCGAGAGAAAAAAGGGACCGTGATATTCATAAGTATAAGTATCGTTCTTTTATATGTATCAGTTGATGTGTAATGAATTGCTTTTTAAACCATAAGAATACGACAGACTTGTTTAACTTACTCTACCAGGTAGTGCTAGTCACGAGATTGCGTCTAGTCATTGAAACGTGCAATGAAATATAAACAGCCATTTATTTTTCGCGCCTATACGCCGATCGAAATAGTTGGTGAATCGTCTACTCGAGTTATTTTATCGTTCAGTGAGGTATACAGTATGGTAGAACTTCAATGATTGCACGAATACTTCATACGTCGCACTGTGTTGACACACGGAAGGGATCTTAACGAGCGAAGTTAGAGGTAGAGGTGCAGTAGAACCTCGATACATGCAACAATTTTTTAGCCCCATTCTCTTGCAATTATCGAAGCTCTAACGCAACAGGTAATATTAACAAGCAGGTACTGGCGATACACAGTGTAAGTAGGGTTCATTGTTGGACAGGCTACCTCGATCACTGCACGAACCTCGATACTTGCATCAATTTTTCGCCCCGTGTTCCTGTAATTATTGAGGTTCGACTTAGAAAACTCAAGCGTGCCGCACGGGCTGTAAATAAATTGTTGGTACGCGCATTAGCAGTCGGTAGAACTCGGTTTTTTTCTGTTTCCTCCAGTGAGTTTCGTCGAATCCCGAAATTTGTACCTACGATTCATTTAAACCATTGATTCGAGCCCCGTATTAGTGTACTACGAATCTGCACAGAATTCTGTTCATCCCTGATTGTTTCAAATGTTCATACGCAAAATTAGCGATAGTACGATCCGTGCAAACGTCCCGATCGATATGAAAAACGAATGCAATTATCTTGTATCGTGCATTTATCATGAATAGGTATGAAAATTGCCAATTGCAAATTTTCAACACGGAACAATATACCAATCATTTGCATACTTTTCTTTCGACATCGATCGACTGCAATTTGATCGCGATCCAGAGATTTTTACCCCATTTTTGGAACGACGTTTTTATTTCGAGATAGGAATGGCACGACTCGAAAGATATAAATTTGTAAGAAATGCAGGTAACGATAATAACTTCCTTAGATCGAACGAAAATTATAGATTGGACATCCACGAGGTGTTTGTCGATGAATTCTTCGATTCGATAGATGTCGAGTTACTCTAATTGCAAACGCGTCGTAAAGTTAGTAACTAAGAAACGAACAGTTGCAATTTTAATACCTGTTAACGATTCTGAATTTTAAGAAAATCGATTCACTGTCCCGTTTTAATTACACACATTCGAAAGAGATCAAAATTATTCCAGCATTCGCGCGTAATAATCGCGACAATTACTTCCAAAAATATCATTTGTGGCAAGAAATTTGCACACTCGAGTAAGTTAAAGCTCTCTGAAGATTATTCGTGCGAAAGGTAAATGTCCCCAATAGCGACCGCGTCCTCTTTATGGACCATTTGCTTTTCTTATATACTAAGTGTGATTTATTCTGAAATTCGTGGATCATTTTAATATAAAGTTACGAGATTATTAAATGGCTTCAGATTTTAATGAGCAACGCAAACAGTTGCTTGTAATATTTTAAGTATATCTCAAATTATTTGTCCATCCAAGCATTTTATTAAACGTTTTTAAATTTAATTTCATATTACGCAAGTTGAAAACTCGATAATTTTGTAACAAAAGTACAAATTCTTTTAACGTGTTGTTAAAAGATTATTTTAAACGATTGCATTCTCACGCGTCCAATAATGGGGTCATTTATCTTACATAAAATAGAAATTTATTCATACGTCGATTAAATTGAGTACAATTTTGGATTGTACAAATTGAAGATTGAAAGGAAACGCGAGAAGCGAGTGGGTTTTGCATCGTGTACCGCACAAATACCATGTTTCGCAATACGGCTAAATAATTGTAAAACGCGTACCATTAAACAGTGATTCGTTATCAGACGTGGTAATATTATTGAGTCGCTGCTGGGATTCTTGCGGATACTCGTATCTAATGTATCATTGATGCTTTCACCTCTTATGAGCAAACATTTACACTGTCCACGCATTAACCCTTTCGCTACGGACAGTGACATTATAGTCACTCGCTGTTAATAAACGAGATACGAGCAATGTTTTATTCGAATAATAAATAAACAATAACATTTATGTACGATCAGACACGCGAGGAAGTAGATTCATAAGCTAATGTGCAACCTGTCCTTCAAGCTTCGATATCAACCTCATTTTTCCCCCAAATCTCAATAATCGTCGATATTGGTATTTTAAAAGCAGACATTCCCTGAATAAATAAATTTCGTTTTTCTTCTAAGTCTAATATGTATAATATATTCTAGTTCCGTAACAAACCGCAAGAATTTTTGTAGCAACCCAATACTTGCAATCGTTTATAGACTTCCAATAAATATAGTAAAATAGTAAACGGTAAAACAAAATTTTTCACGTCGTATTCAAGTATTAAAGGATTTATTATTTTATACGCGTACGGCTAAAACGTTATAGATACGTGAAAGGAAGCTAGATAGAATAAATTACAAAAGGATAAACGGAAGAAACGAATTCGAAATGTATTTATCACGCCTTTGTAAGTATTTCGTTTTCTACGTTCTTGTTACGCGCGTCTGACGAGTGTTCTTCACGTTTGTACAGAATAGCGAAATTACGAAACTGTATAATACGAGATTAGCTGACGTTAGCGGCGTTATTAGCGAACGCAATGGCGAGCGATTAAACCGTCAAAGGTGAACAACGAATCGCGTACAATACGGATCATAGAAAAAAAGGGTATCTCGAAAATCTCGAATTTTCAGAAATTATTGCGAGAAACTCGAGCTTGAAGTTTGTACACTGATCGCTAAATTCTTATGTTTCACGTATACATATGTAGAAAATCGAAATTCTCGATCACCTACGACTACTGGCAGGGTTAAATGCGTTCTATTTTATATACAATATACATATGCATATATCATTGTATAGTATGTGCTGCGAGGGTTGTTTGAATTTCTCTTGGATTTTATAATTTTAATATAAATAAAAGTACTTGAAGAAACGATGACTTTTAAATCTTACGATACGTACCGATGTTTTAATAGGTAATACTGTTTATTGTTCACTATGAGACGGAATGTTAAAACGGAGTTTCTACCGTCGGCTGTCGCCAACTGGAAGAACAAACCAGGCAAAACGAATTCAACGAAAATGATACAAATAATTAAAAGTATTTAATCACTGTGTTATAAATTCTTAATCTGCCCAATTAAATTAATCAATAGGGATTTTTAACGTCTTGTATTATTAATTTTTAATCTTAAAAAGATAGAAAACGATGAATACTAATAAAATAGTATTTTAAATATAAAAAAAGCAGACGCGGTAATATAATTTTATAGTAATCAATAGTAAACAAATTCAATAAAACTATTTAATTTCCGATGTGTCGAATAAAATAACATCAAACATCTTTTAAAAACCGATTATCTGCAAAATTATTCTGCATCAAATTTCACCCTATTTCGATTCACGCTTCGTTCGATCTTATTTACATCGTCGCAAGATACATGAAACGTTTCAAATATATTGGTATTCGAAATAAAATATATTTGTTTAACGCCTTAAAAGTAAAAACGTACAATGGTTTTAAATAATCGTTGACTCTTCGAACGAAGCCATCATGTTTATTAAGTTTATATGCTGGAATTTAAGATACAATTTGATTTGTATTCAAGCCGGTGTCGGGTATTTAAAATGGCATTACAAGTATTTCTATTTAAAATTTTGCCTAGCGCTACAAAGCATTTATCGCAGCGCTGTTGGTAGAAACTACCGACTGTAATGTACCGTCATGGCGACGTTACCGCCACGGAAAAATCCAACTCCAACGAAAATTTTAAAACAACACCTTACCCCGTTGCAAACGCTATTGCAGTTAGGCTTTCCGAAACATCGAGCGTGAGTACCATAATATGTTTATAAAAGTATGTCGTTCTTTCTTTGTAATCCTACGGTCAATTTTGAATACCTGTACAGTACACATTGTAAACAAACAGCTGTCAAACTAAGTAATACTACTATCCTCTCTCTTCTTTTGTTAAAAAAATAAGTGTCCGTACTAAATCTACTTCGTCTATTGTGAGACTGTAATATGTGAATCTGTTAAATTACTAATCTTTTATACTTTCGCGAAACGGCTCAAAGAATATTATCTGATTAAACATTTCCATATATCCATTGTTATATAAGAGGGTCGTGACGGAACAATGAAGTTAATTGTACAATTCGTGATAATTAAAGTGGACGTTGTATTATTTGTAGAGAGAAGGCATTGGCAGCTACAGGGTATCGAGGTGTTCAACTTGCATCGGATTGGTTATTAGCCCACGTTAGAGATCCAACTTTGGATTCTGATACTCAGAGACAATATGTTCTGTATGCCTGCCCAATGGGCGCATTAGCGGAACAACTTATGCAATTTTGGTCAGAGAGCAAAGAACTAATATGGAACGGTGCACACGATTATATGCCACATGTTACTCTTGTGTCATTTTTTAATGTATGATATGATGTTAACATAGTGCATTAATTGAAATCAAAGGATTACATGAAAATCTTGTTTATAGGCCCCGGATGAATGCACCGAAGAATTGGTAAATGCCCTTGAAAGTATAGTAAATCAGGAGGCATTACCAGATCACATTGAGTTAGAAACCTATGTTTCTCCCAATTTTATGGGTTTTTTTGTTGAAGAAGCAAATGCTGAATGGCTGAAAAATATTGCGATTCGTTATGTAAATAAACTTACAAGTTTAGGTATTTCTGCAGAGCCACCGCAAGTAAAGAAGTCTTTACATTTGACGCTAGTTTATCAATTTCCTAGCAACTTATATCAACAATTGCGTTTAATGGTAGAGAAACTGACGCTCAGTTCTCCAGCTAATTGGGAACTTAGATTGTATTCCAGAGATGTTAGGCTACAGAATATGCATGTGCATAAAGTAACACATGCTCACGTGCCTAGAGAACACGACGAATTAGAGTTAAGAGTAGGAGATTTTATTTACATTCCAGAAGAGGCATGCAATACATCTACGGATGGTTGGGTCGAAGGTGTCTCTTGGTTAACTGGTATTTCAGGCCATCTACCTTTGAATCACACAAAACGCACAGCTGAATCAGATTCGTGGACCTTGCACACTACCATACAGCTTACTGACAGTAAAAGCAAAATTGTAGAAAAAGAAGAAATACCTATGACTCGAAAACCACCAGTATTATTGTCCAACGATTCTACGGATAGTCCTGATGGAGTAGCAACGACTAACGAACCAGTAACTTATATTATTTATTAATTTTCCCAAGTATACTACTTTCATTTTCAACGTTTCTTCTCTTTACATAGATCGAGGCCTCCGAAGCACCACCGACCTTTTCACGGCAAATTTTTATATGTCGTCACGGGGAACGAGTAGACTTTACATTTGGAGCATGGATCCCTTATTGTTTTGAATTAAATGGTTCTTATGTTCGGAGAGACTTAAACATGCCAAAAGAAATACCATCAAGAAATATACAGGATTTTCAAAATGACAGCCCTTTAACGACGGTAGGTGAAGTGCAAGCAGGCTTAGTGGGAGAAGCAATGAAATCGTCTAGTATTAAAATAGACGTAGCTTTTACTTCACCATCGTTAAGATGTATACAAACGCTGGCTCACATTTTAAAAGGATTAGATTCAAACATTCCAATGAAAATAGAGCCAGGTCTGATAGAGTGGTTAGCATGGTATCCGAATGGTGTACCAATTTGGATGACATCCGAAGAATTAATAACAGCAGGTTTTAACATAGACAATAGTTACGATCCAATTATTAAAACAAAAGAGCTTCCATCAAAAGAGAATGTAGCGCAGTATTATGAACGGAGTTACGAATTAATCAAACGAATTATTGAAAATACCGTAGGGAATATTTTAATAGTAGCTCATGCTGCTTCTTTAGCAGCATGTACCAAACAATTAACGGGTGGTAGAGTACCACCAGCTGCTGAAGTTACTAGACTAGTTCAAAGAGTACCATATTTAGCTTGCCTAACGGCACGTGAAGGGTTAGATGGTTGGCAAATTCATCCGCCTCCATTTCCACCTATAACACACACTAGTAACACTAGATTCGATTGGAAAGTGTTAATGTAAAAATATGATTTAATATTTCAAGTAAAGTTTTTCTCTTTCTAATCTTTGAGATATAGCAGCAGACTAATCATAAAAGACTGGTAAGATACAATACATGTTTTTTAAACGTTTTAGTCGATACGAAGTATATTAAAAAAGAGAAAAAAGTATTATAATTATTTTATGAATTGGGTTATTTATGATGTGCAACGAACTAAAAATGCCGGTTTGTTATTAAATTTCTTAAGAAATTAACATTCGTAGGGAAATAATATACGGGTATTGGCATCTAATTCTACCTTTTGTATGGAAAAGGATTCAAATAATGTGTATTCTAATCTTTATAAAGATTGTATGAATTACATATTTTAATGTAATAGTTTTTAGGAAAATATTTTATCATAAATTTCGTATTAGATGTCTAGGAGGTTTTTAGTAAAACAATTTATGGTATTCCTAACTTGTGATGAAGAAATATTATGAATATTACAATTTTAAGAAACATATTAAAAGTTATAAAGTTTTTAAGTTTTTCGTTGATTATGCTTTAAAATCAATCGCAACATACGAATTAAAAATATTTAAATTGTTATATCGACAGTTATGGCAGATATGACAAAATCTAATATTGTCTTTTGCAAAGAGCGTGCATGCATAAATGTATAATCAGGTCTAAGATTCGTTGCTGATGCGGTTACTAAAGATTTATTTCATTGTTATACAAAAATCTAAGTGTACGGAAATTTATAAAAATCGGTAATAACGAAAAATATCCTCTCGCGCATTTTTAAAGCACTTTAAGATAAATAGTGCGAATAATGTGTGAAAATATAGAAGTACAAAATCGATGTAGAAAGACAGTGTTGTTGCATTTACCAAAGAGACAGATATAAGTATATAAAATGTTATTTTATTATGTCAGTTATATCATAAAGGGACCTACTGCTTTATTTTGTGCGATAAAAATTTATTCAAATATAACATACAACATCTTATGATGTATAAAAAATACTGCTCTATGTACAGCAAAATTTAATAAAGTTATAATGAGTATAAAGGTCATTGAAGTAATTAAACATGGCCACTTTCTTTCAATTTTCCAATCAAACTATCAACATCTGGTAGAATAGCACCAGCTTGTCGTACTGGTGGTTCTTCGACTGATAAAATATCAATTCTGGCAGTGGTGTCGACACCAAGATCTTTTGGTGTTACTTTCTTAATTGGTTTCTTTTTAGCTTTCATGATGTTTGGTAATGTTGCATACCGTGGTTCGTTAAGACGGAGATCAGCACTTAAAACTGCTGGTGTTTTAATTTTAACGACCTCCAAACCTCCATCAACTTCACGTGTCACAGTTAATTCACCGTTATTATTTTCAATCTAAAATACAGAAAATATACATCAAATTAAAACAATCAACTTCTAAATTATATTATATTAAAAGTTGATTTTATATGATATTATTTAAACATTTGAATTCAGTCGTCATACTTTGCTACAAAATGTTCCAGTTGGCCAATCTAAAATGCCTCCAATCATTTGTGCAGTTTGATTGCAATCGTCATCTATAGCTTGCTTACCAACAATGACTAAATCTGCTTTTTCGTCTACAGCTAATTTGGCTAAAATTTTGGAAACATGAAGGGGTTGTAGAGTTTCGTACTCTGATTCTGATATTTCAATGTGAATTCCTTTATCAGCACCCATTGCTAGTGCAGTTCTTAATGTATCTTGAGACTGCTTTGGGCCACATGAAACTGCAATTATCTCCTGTACTAATTTTTTCTCTTTCATTCGTATGGCTTCTTCGATTGCAATTTCATCAAAAGGGTTCATTGAATGTTTCACACCATCCGTTACAACGCCCATTTTATCTGATTTAACACGAATCTGGTAATGAAAATAATAATGTAGACATATAAAATAAATCCTTATATCTAAACTATTTCTTTTTAAATAATACACTTTATAGTATTTAATTTTTATTATATAATCTTTTAATTATTTAATGATTAGGCCAAATGATTAAAAAATATTAATGTTGGCAGGTATTCTTAAATATTTTGTATAAAATTATTAAAATATACCTTAACTGCATAATCGATAACTCTCTTTACACCTACAAGAGCACGCGCCATCGTTAACTAATAAACAGATCGATAAATTATACAAATATAAATTATAATTAACTCTTTCACATAATATTTATCTGAAACTGTCAATGGAACTGTTCAACTTCCATCATACGTGGCGGAGCCATTCGTTTACAACAGTCTAAAGTTCATATCTTCTCCAATAAAAGAAAAATAGGTATCTGTACTTATTTCATGGACATATTTTCATCCAGTTCGCGCTGATGTAAGTAAACGTCACAACATGGCCGTTTCAGATCTTATGTTAGATTATAAAATTTTGTACAGAATTGAATGGTTCTTGAGTTACTCGTAAAATAAAACGATAAAAATAGAGGTTCAAATTTTTGGGTCATGATGACGTAAGATTTCTGTTATCCCTGATTGGCTTACATATATAAACATGCACGCGAAGTTACAGTTGGTTACAGTAAGTATGCTCTGCTTTTATACGATAACTCCTTCCATGGATCCTGATCTATTTGTGATAGATAAAAGAAAAAATTGTAATCACATCCATATATTTATCTAAATGTGTATAAGTTTCTGTCATAATGGAATTTTAAGAGCAATTTACAATGCTGTTTCACATTTCGTCGTTTTGTTTCAGTATATGTATTACGATTTAAGGCCATTTCCAACATTGCAGCATATAAATGGCGCGTAAACAACAACGCATCTGTATCAAGTGAAAGATTAAAGAAATAATCTTACATGTCACTCACATTATTGTTGTTTCTTTCCAATACGGAAATGTTATACAAATATAAATTGCACGTGTATCTTTTATAACCCATAATTTTAATTCTTATAATTATCAATTAATTCCTATCTGTGCTGCTGCAATTAATGTCAGCGTCTATATCTCTATAAATTATTTAGTGTATTATTCGACCTATTTAGATACTCTACTGTTACAATTATTAAAAGGGCGAGGTATACATATTGTATATTAAAGTTCAATTAATTTGTTTATAACTCTTAATCACACAAGTATATTTATCTAAAATTATCATTATATTAGGAATAATATCCATTGATGCATTTTTATTAAAAATAATACACTAAATTATCATTGCCAAATAATTTTAATGTCTGAACTGAGTACTCGCATTACGTAGGTACTTTTTAATGAATTTATTAGTTAAATAGATAGATGTATTCGTTAGTATGCGAGACTACATATTCAATAAATTATTTTTAAATTATATCGTCTCCGATTACAAAAAGGACAAAAATTTCATAATTCTTAATATCTCTATAGAACAAGTTGAATAAACGTGCAACAGTTTCGAATAAATGAAATTTTAATTAGAAATTAAGTCGGAAGAAATAAGAATTTCTAAGTGTAACAAAATTCTTGCATGCCATTTTTATATTTCAATGAAATTAACACAAAAGAGACTTGAAGCAATCGCTATGGAGCCAATCAGAATGGATATGAAATCAAGTTTGCGCCACACATGGCGTCCAAGAACCGACGCCATCTAACGTCTGGCATTCCTGTTTTTTTCGTGCGGGTAAAATCACGGCTTTCTATAGCGCGCAAGCCTTTATCGTTTTGTTTTGTAGAATTCGGTAAGTTAAGTGAATATCTTTGGTAAATTGACTATGCTATACGTATGCCGAATGAAATGTTAGCTGAGAAAAAGCGATCACGCGTCAAGAAAGTGTGTGGGAAAATGAGTTAACCGTGTGTTAACGCGCAGTGGTCAACAATCCGTGGAAGTTTAGTAAGGGAATATATTCCATATTCAGGACTTGATAACGTCGAGGTAATTTCACATCGATGCTTATGATCGACTATATTACGTGAGTTTTCCGAATATTTTCGTAATCTGAAGTCGTTTAGAGTTTCCTTCGTGTTTATGTTTACTCCTCTAATTACCCCCTCCCTCCTCGGCCACCCTCTGAGCTTGAACTTTTCCTGAAATTCTCCCTCGTTTTTTTGATACTTCATACATTGTTTTCTTACAGTATTTTCTTTCTCTGGTTCTTTTCACTGTTGTGTCATTTCTTTCATTTCACCTATTTCTTGTTTTATTGGCTCCATTAACCAAACCGTACAAAGCAAAATGATTTTCTGATTGTTAAGATAGCCGGAACAATTTGTTGATCTCTTTATAATTTTTAATGCTTTAACAAATATTGATATCTCGATGCTAAATAACAACCACGTCAAATTTCAATCGGTAGTTATGCAAGAGTTACGTAGTAATATTTTTGTTGCATTTTAAGCGTATTGTATTTGTGCAGAATATATTTTCATTTAATTAATATTGATTTCTTATAAGTATTTAGAAAGACGTATATAGCGAGTGAAAAATGAGCGCATCTGCCTTAAAATCAACGATACCTGGAGTAGGTACGTCTCCAACTTCTACCAGTCATTCTATTCTTCCAATGAATGCAATGGCACAAAAAGTTGTGTCTGGATCAGAACCAGGATCTATGAAGCCTTTACCAGGAACTGGGTTAAGTTATGTTACGTTACAACCACCCAGTCAACCTTTGAGTTTAGTACAAGATCATAGACCTTCGGTATATCAAACACCACCGTATGTAAGCAGCAATTCTGAAAAGGAATCGGATCTGGATAAATTAATTCCTAATGGAGTAGAAATCATAAAAACAGAAACAGAACAAACTATATCTGTTGCTATGAAGCAGAGCGAATCTAATAGAAATAACAATTTAAGTCCAGATAACCCAACTCAAGAACCACAAAAAGAGAATCAATCGGAACAAGAGATGACATCTATGAATTTAGATTTTCCTGGTTAGTAAAACTATAATAAGTTTTTGTCAATTTATATGTTTCATTAATTTCATATTAATAATATTTACACATAAATTTAATTTGACTGTTGAATTTATTATTTATTCGAAATTTCTTTGTTTGACTATTGAATTCGTTGATATTGCATGTCGATGCATATGAACATGAGCGTATACATACATCTATATCTATCCATATATATATATATATATATATGTTGCTTTAGCACTATGTCCACAACTGCAAAATAAAGTTGAAGAAAAGAAACCTTCTATAAATAACAGTTCGAAAGAACCTGATGGAACGCCGATTAATACAGCTTTACAAACAAAGTTATCTTCACACAAGTCGGAAGATGTATCAGTAGTAAAAGCTGATAGTCAAAAGTCAAAAGCTACGTCTCAAAATACAAAATTTGCGGCAGATAGTTCTGCAATGTCACAAACAAGTAATCCACCAAAGGTTGAAACAAAAGTCACTGGTTCGCCAAAAGCAAATAAACGAAAATCTAGAGAATTAAAGGATTTAAAAGGAGTATCAGCAGCTTCAGATGGTGCAAGTAAGCCAAAAAGAAATCGAATTCAAACACAGCCTTATCAAAGTCCGTTACCAGAAATTGCACTTATTGTAAAAAATTTAAATAAGCCACCACCGTCTAAAGCAATTGATGACAAACTTATAGTATTCTACAAGTAAGTACGATTTATATAATTATTAATAATATCTTTAAAAAATGTAAAATCAATTGATTTTTTATATAAATATATAAAGGAATAAGACATACGATGTAATAATAATTAATGAATAATAATACAAGTTTTGAATTTTTTACATTGATTTACATGTATAAATATATTATTTTTTTTTTTATTAATTTTATTGTTTCTCGATGTAATGAAAGTACAAACATAAATAAAATTACTAATGCTTTTTATCTATCGCACATTCATTAATTCTTATTGATATTTATTATTAGAAATGAATTTTTGGCTGTGAGAAATGCAGAGGGAAGCTTTTATGTATGTCAAGCAATGCAAAATATATATAAGTCAAGCAGACGAATTCGTATACGTTGGCTTTCTCAAGACAAAAATAATGGAGAAATATATTCACCAGATTTTTATGATTTCATAGGTAATTTTGTGTGAAATTTTGGTTACAGACAGTAGAATTAAATTAAATTTTAAGTATATTTGTTTTATTATTATAATATTCTATAATTCTTGTTCTACATTATATAATAATATTTACAGTACATTTACATATATTGCACCGTTTTGAAATTTCAGACTTTGATTGTATATTAACAAATCTAAATTTAAATAAGATCGACAAAAACAAATTTCAACTAACCAAGATCGAGCTATTGCGTACAGAGAATATTTTGAAAAGAGCAATTGACGTTGAGGCTGGCGTATCTGAAAAACCACGAGTAACGGAAGAACATCCAGACGGACGTTAGTGACTAATATTTAAATATATTTTAAAAATCGTTAATATAATAAATAAACGTTGCTCATATAGTTAACATATTTGATTATTGCCTATACGAGATTCTATACTATCAACTTGTCTGTTATTTATATAATCAAAATTTTGTACAAGTATTTCGTGGAATTGAAAATTTTAATATCTTATCCACAGTTGACCTTTCACTTTACAAAGATGAATCACAATTAAAGAGAAGAAAAAACCACAACTTACACAAACAAAAGCAAAGTTTGCTTAAGAAATCAAAACAGCTTGAAAGCTCGTCCGAAGATGAAGCTCCTGAGGAAGAGTCAGGGAAAAAATCACCAAAATCGAATCGTTCCAAGAAACGAACGGTTAAAGCATTAGCCATTGCTAAATCTGTTGCAAAAGGATCTAGTAGAGCGGAAAGAGCATTAAACAGAAACACAAAGTCGGGAAGTGAAGTTGCTACCACCACTAATACTAGTGTAACTACCAGTACTACAGCCAATACCGTTCCATCTGTAGATGCTACTAAAAACAGTTCTGGCATTAAAAAGAGCGAAAATAAAAAAAGCATAAAACAACAGAATAACAATAGCACAAGTGGAGTTTCAAGGATAAAACAACGTAGTAAGTAACTCGTTTTATTAAGCTTGAAATATCTTTATTTGTTAAAATATCACGGTGCAATTTAATTTTCAGCATCTGCTGAAAATACACAACAGAGTAGCAAAGCAACAGGACGTCCAAAACGTATGGCCGCTACCACAGGTATTCTGTCGACCGAAGAAACAACTTCTCGAAAGAAACCACGTGGACGAGCATAAGATTAACGTAATTTACATGTTTTTCCTATGCAACACCTAGAACAGAATCTGTATCGTAGACAATATGTACACGTAGTACACTCTTTAAAATTGCGATCAATTTATAATGTAATATATATGATCTCAAGATTCTTATATCTATCAGGTGCTGCATTATATTATAGTCCAACAATGTGGGATCAACAATTTATATAACTATGCGGCAAATCGCATTTAACGAAAAAAAAAAGACTCGGAGACTTATGAGAGTGATATTGTGATATCATGGAAAATTTGTACATATCGTCTACGTTTCAGATTCCTACAGGAGAAGAAAGTCACGGAATGTATGAAGAACGGTACCTTGGTTGAGTAATAACTGTCTACAGGGTGTCACATGCTAATGCACTCTTGCAATAGTCTATTTTTGATGTTGTGAGTGAACTGTACGTGATTCAGTTGAGTTTAAATGTACACTTTCCATTGGATATAATAGCTATGTACAAATATATATGTCTGGGGCTTGTATGTACTCTATGAAAAGATTAAAACACAAAAGAAAATCGAGTACCAGAGGATGATAAGAATCCGTGAATTATCGATCTCCATGTTATGGATCGGTAGATTTAGAAGTACAATATCTGTACATTACGCTGAATCCTTGCTATTTAAAAAATAGCATTGCAGAATGGTCCAGCGCCTATACTAAAGACAGGCAGAGAAAAAAAAGTGCCCTCAACTGTAAATCCTTGTCCTGTTGTTGAATCTTTAGATTCATGGAGAAACCATATGGCTGAAAATATAATGTTTTACTTATAGTTTATTTTCGAATCATTTGTATCAATGAGTTACTAATATGATTCATTGTTATAAAAATCAAGAGGATCATGTTAATTAATTATGGTGGTGTCAAACTATAATTTAGCCACTTAAACATATTATATTCTTTTCTTTAAAGAAGATAATAATAGCACTTATTTACTCTGATAAGTCTGGATTTAAATGTATAAACTTGCTTTATCTATGTATTATTTTATTTTTGCAAAGATTATGGACAAAGTGTATATTTACCGAGAGATAGATGATTATGATCTACATTTCACCAAATTTAAATTCTTATATGTTAATGTAGTATATAGTTTATATTTTGTCGGAATGTATTATTGGAAATACAAATTTCTGTCAATGTTAAGAAAGGGGATTCATGAAAGTCATTTATGATGATGTATATTGAACGAAGGTATCGAGATATGTATTTCTTTTACTACATTATAACGATACATTAACATAACCTACAAGAAGAGGCAAAATGTTTTCGAGTTTTGGGAAACAAAGGGCAGATTGTCGAAGTTAAAGTTACTCGGTTTTTTTTAATTGAAAATTCTGTCTCCGGAGATGTGTACACTTATTTTTTTCATTGGCCGTTGAATATGCACAAACTTAACGAGAAAGTTGTTTCTTACCTACATGATTTTATCTACGTATGTACATATAAAGATTAGGTAATCGAAATTGTGAAAATGAATACAAAAATTTACGAGCGTTTGGAATCTTGATGGCTAATGTATCTTATTCATTTGGTAAACTATTCCATTAATTGTGTTGGTACAGCAATTGCAGGAACCTCGATCTTTATTTTAACAGTCACATGTACGATGTACATATACTTCATAAGCTTATGACATAAAGACAATTCAAGAATGCCGTTCAAGTGATTAGGCATATCGACTTCTATTGAAAATAGGATACAAGATAATTATATTAAGTGGTTAAAATGGATTTAATTCTTTAGATGGGAGATGAATAAGATACCAATCCTATCATTGGTCCATTGCATATTGTATTTAAAATATACACATACATAATGTATAAATTTAAAGTATATGCAAACATAATGTATAAAATTTAGTAAAAGAAAAAAATTCTAACGACAAGAACCGATGAATTTGCTTATATTGTTATTAAATTTTTTTTGCTTTCAAAGCAATGTCACTTTTTTCTGGGAATTAGTTGTATAAAAACAAAGTAATCAAAGGACGTTGCAAATAATGATTGATATCATGATTAGCATCGATGGAAGACATGTAACATAATGAATTTTCGAGTCAAATTGCACTTTATTATTTCGAGAGGCAATGAATTGCACGACGCGTATAAATACAGCTCTCGATATTCTTCTCTCGAGCCATTTATAAGTCTAAGACAAAATAGCATGAAGGAAACTGAATCGAAAAGCAACGATGCATTTGCGTGCGGGCTGATATTTGTTGAGAATACTTAAATGTATATTGAATTTCGAAAATTGAAATTTAAATGTAAACACTGCAGATAATTCACTACAAAAAGATCATCTTGCGCTTATATAATTAAATTCTCCATCATATTTGCTTATAGAAATTTGTCGTTTGCGACAAACGTTTATTTAAGCCAGTTAGTCCCAAATTTTTTATTATCGCTATCGTACGAAATATTTACGTCTTTATTTTCTTCATTATCGTAATAGTATTTTCGAGAACCAAAGATATGTTCGTTGGACAAAAGTATATATTTAAAATTCGTATTACAAACAATTTTTTATTTTTAGAAACATTGGAAATACTTTGAATATTTGGGAGACACTGGTTTAAGGTTTTGCGTTTAACAAGATCTCAACTACCTCGTGATACAACTTATTTCCGCATTAATGTAAAATTGTATGTTTAATTTCAGATACATATCGTTTAAAAAAATTTCATTCTATTTGCATTATGAATTATGTTTATATTTTAAGTAAATATAAAGGGCACTTAATATAGCCGCTTGAAATGTCTTTTGCATATATTATTTATACGATTTGTTTTTTAATTCGCTGAACTTTGTAAAAGTATGAGGATAGAAGTTACAGATTTTATTTATGGCGTGCGTACACCCGAAAATTAATTTCGTGAAGTTTAAAGTCTCCGTCAAGAATTTAATTTTGTAGTTTGTTAACCGAGAAAGGATATTTTCTGTAGCGGTATTAAGAGTCTCGTTGTGTACAATTTAAAAATAGTATTGATCGGATTACGGTGCCAATTGTTTTCAAACTTTTAAGCAGTATTCCTTTAACAAGATCTGTCTTAAGACGCATGAAATCAATTATTGGCTCTTGCTTGACTTCTAGCACTGCTTCGATGAATTTACAGCATATGCCCCTAATTAATCTGAATGTCACGATTGCATTCTAATTACGTAATAAGCACATAAACCGTATTACACGTGACGCATTTAAATAGACATTTAAATAATGATTAAATAAAGCGATCGTGCGATTATCTCTAAGTATGATTCTTGTAAGAATGAATATTTACATAGATAAAATGTACAGCCCACATGCGAAAATATCGGGCTATACTCGAAATACGTTGTGAAGAACACTGTCTTTTTGCTTCCAGGTCATGTACAATTAATATTTCCATTAGGCAACATTTGTAAGCAGAGTTTCACTCTAAATTAATTAATATCTGTCGTTTTCGCTTAGATTGTATTGTCGTTTTCAATGTGGAAATTGAATCGATTTTTATACAAATCTTAACATTATTACAATTTATAGATAATTCTTTATATGTAATGCAAAGAAATCGATTTTTATAAAATAATAATTGACGATTTTAATTAATTTTATCGTTACGTTGATATCATTTCTTTTTTTTTTTTTTTTTTTTTCATTTTTCACAATCAGTTTTAGCGTAGAATATTTCGAGAGAGGAGGGTATCTAATTTTTGGCAACACTTACGTAATAGTAATAAAATAACTATAATAGGAATACTTTAACCGACATGCCTTTTAAATAATTCGATTCGATATTGAATAACGACGTAAATCGATACCGGAATGCGAATAAATTCAACGCGGCCTACTTTGTACCTAAAACTCGGAAAATCGATCATAAGAAGCAAAAAAGCAGAGCACGAACGTTATCTGTACCGAAAACGTGTTTCAAGTAGGTAGCCCCGATCCTTTTGAGATTCATTTTTCTAGAAGTTATTCTATACAATTTACACGCAACTTTAACGTTAGAAACGATTCAACTACAAAGAGTCTCTAATATGAATTTACAAGGAACCTCTATCTGTCGTACTGTGTACTATTTCCTTTGTGTATACAATTATTCCATAATTTTCTTGAATTAACCACACGAGCTGATAATGGTTGGTGCAATCTGTATGTCCCCTGTGATTTAAGTTCATAATGAATTGAGAATCAACGTTTTACAAATAATAAAAGATATTGTGAGTTTGGTGATCGGAGTCAATTTTTATTCGCGTAAACCTGTACAAAATTTTCAGGTGTTTATTCTGCTAGACGGCAATCGAGCATATACAATGAGCGACAGCAACGCGGCAAATCTAAGAAAGTACAAGGAATACATGATTTTTTTAATCGATACGATATTAGGAAACGCTGAGTTTTTGTATGTACGACATTTTCACGAATAAAAATTTCTGGAATGAAATCACTTACACTTCATTCGTATGCATATGATCACCATAGACTAGTTAGTCTTGTATAGAGGATGTTTTATGGTTATGACTAAAATAACTAATTATAGTTGATACAATGTTCGAAAATATAAAGAATATTTCTAAGTTACTTTATAAAACTTCTGCAAGATCGAATTAGATTGTTAAAATTAATGTTAAAATAATGATTTCTTATTTTTTTAAAATAATACTTTTATAGGAAAATTGAGTTTGAACAAAAGTTTAGCATAGACTTGAAATACAATCATTATTGTACTATATTAGTAAAGTAACTTAAAAATTGTATAGTATTATAATAAATATTAAAGTAATTCATAGAATATCCAGAGCATAATAGTTACCAAACCTTGAATATTTTTCGACGTTTTGACCCAGTTTTAAGAGTCGCCTTCATGAAAATTGACTGAAATAATGGATATAAAACAAGCCTGGTCGAAAGGTTGAAAATATTTAAGTTTTTATAACTCTTATGCTCTGGATATAATACAATATAGTATCTACAATATTAAATATGGCAAACAAACATCAAATTTATATTTGAAGTTATTCATAAACTATACATGTAAATAAATCTGTACAGACAGATACGTTTGTTTTGGATTTGTTTAACGATATCAAAATCGAAAAATGACTCGACTTATTTCGATAAAATGTTGCGCACT